TCCATAAATGAATAATCTTACGTTTCCATGTATTAAGACCGCTTATAACGTATAAGATATGGTCGCCATTAATCAAAAGGCCTCCCTTCTGTGCGGGTTCGAATCCCGCCGAATGCCGCGAGCTTTTTCACAACTGGGTCAACTAAATTAACCAAATCTGCCAAAAAAACTTAATAATTAATCAAGAACTTTGGGAGCTCAATGTGAAGTCATCTTAATGGCGTAGAGAAACGTGTGGTTTTCTTCAGATGGAATGCATGCAGCCCTAAATGTAAGTCTAACGGAAGACTGTACTCTAAATTATTCGGCAGTTGTAAGACATTTTTAAAGCCGAAAAACAATTTCTTTAAGCGCAAAATTGGTAGAAGACGTACTGTCTCAGGCAATGAGCACAGAAAAGGATATTTTCGTGCAGGTTTTTTTTATAAAGTATATTTAAACACATACAGGCATCAAAACTCGATGCAACAAGTTTATACTACTTAAGCAGGCATTTTCACAGCGTCTGATTTTTCCAGGTAACCGGAAGAAAATTTGTTTCCAGGAACGAAATCCTGTTGGGAGTGAAATGCTTTGGGATTATGCTTCACGGCAATAAGTATTATAATTCCTTCTACATTAAAATTAGTAACATTTCAGGGCTTTAGTTAACTTTTTATGAGATAGCATATCTGGCATATATTTAAATTTCATTATTATTTAAACAGTATCCAGCTGTTAGCAATACCTTTAAAGCCTGATATTATCAGAGACGGACGCCCCTACTATATGCCTTACTCTAGTTGACTGCGTTTCCTTAAGACTTCATGGTTGTTTTGCAGTGTGTGTTCTGACTGTTTTTTGTATTCTTCAGGTTAACTCCATGGCTGTCAACTCGGTTGCCAGCGTAACTGTAACAGCAGCCGTTGGAAGTGTGATCTATGCTCTCTTCTTCTCCTGGTTGACACCACAGGCGATTGTCATTTCTTGTATCGTGAGTGGAATGTTGGCGGCAGCGATATGGTTTATACTGGGCACAGTGGTGACTCTTGGCAAGATGCGTAGCCTGGGTACGTTCGCGTTTTTTACGTCGAATAAGCAGCCAAAACACCAACATTAATCTTCCTGCAGAATTAAGTGTGCTGTTGTTGTGAATTGCAATAATTTCCGCCGTAACTGTTTATCCTGAGGAGCGGAGTCGAGGTCTACTGTGGAAGGAAGTCAGTCAGGATGAAGTACTGTGGAATACTGAAAGGCAATTAGCAATCGACAAATTCAAAGAAAAAAAACTCAAATTCGAAAATGTCAGATATCCGGGATATAAATTATAACTATTCTTCTGTTCACCGGAATAAATTCGAAGATTTACTCACGTTTTAGACAGCGAATACTGACTTTCATCGATCAGCAGTTTAAAGTGGCGGCTGTAAGTGTTGGCCCTGGGCTGATCGATTTTTCTCCGTTCGCTGTCTGGCCTTGCGTGTGGATTTTG